GGCCCTCGCGCGAGGCGCACGCGCAGAGACGCTCGGGGCGCGTCTAGCAGGTCCCCAGAGGCACCTGCAGCGGGCGGGCCGCCGAGGAGCAGGCGCGCGGCCGGGGATTGCTCGGGCTGCGGCCGCGGCAGAAGTGCGCGAGGTCCACGGTCATCAGGACCACAAGTATCAGGCTGTAGAGGCCCAGCGCCAGGAGCGGGCCCGTGCCCCTGTGGAAGGAGGGATTCGGGGGCTGTAGACTTTGTGTTACGTACAGCCCGCACATTGCAACCCCCCTGAAAGTTCGGGACCCCCTCCTTGGATTTTTGTAGACATAGATTCACAAATATTTACATACAAATTCAGGGGCTCACTGGTACCCTGCCCACGTCTATGGGCAGATTCAGGATTTAAACCCCCTACTGTAAGTGTGAAGAGTCCCGGTGAGCTGCTAACTGCTCCACTATCAGACAGACATAACGGCAGTGCATGTGGCTGTAGGTTTGGACTACTATGAAGTGTATACAACACAGGCTGTACAACATAGAGTCCCAAACTAACCCCCTTTATGTCTTACTAACCCCCTTTTCAGGGGAAAGCAAAAATTACTCAGCACCACCAGTTTCCCCGCTCCATTCTCTATACCATCCCTCCCCCCTGCTGGCATTGAACAACTTTTGAATTATACCCCATAATCCAGGGTCTCAGAAACAAACTCATTGCCATCAGTCGTTTCCAACTCACAGCAACCAGTCAGGACAGGGTAGAACTGCTCTCATCGCTCTCCCTGGGAGTGGTGGGTGGTTTCGAACTGCTGACTTTGCGATTAGCAGCCCAATGGGTAACCACAACACCACCAGGGCTCCTATAATCCAGTGTAAGTGTCCACTTTTGCAGCAGCCCCTGAATCTTTCCCTTGGGGGCAATGTCACCCACTTTGGGGAGCTTTGGGAAACACTGGACTATAAGATCCTTTCAGATTTAACCCTCCACCCAATACCCACCATGACTTCCGGTCACCCACTTTCACAGCTCCTGAGCTTTTTCCTCATACGAGTGTTGGTTATTGCGTATTCGTGTGATTTTCTGTTTCATAGCTATTTCTCTGTAAACTACAGGCCTGTGAGCCACAGGCCGCCGCCCCTACATTTAGGAGCAAAGTCCCAGATCCTGCCCCTGTCCCAGTAGCTTTTCTTCTGTTCCTCCTACCAGAGTTCTCACCTGAGAATGGGCTGGGGTGGGAGAGTGGACACGTTGACCTGGTACAGGGCCTCGAACTCGGCGCGGGTGCAGCAGGAGCTCCCTGCAGCCTGCAGGTGGCAGCAGTAGGCTTCCTCTGGAGTATCAGAGAGCCGCGGACAAAAGAAGCCTGGGGAGTGGCGGCCATCGGTGTCCCGGGTGGCCTGGCACAAGTGGGGATGGTGGGCCAATGCTGAAGGGAAGGGCAGAGGGGCTGGAGACAGGCCGGAGTGGTGTCCCCACATCCCACCACACCACACCTCTTCCAGAGAATGAAAAGGATCAGCCAGGCTTAGAGGGGCAGGCATCCTTCCTCCCTCCCCGCAGTTCCCCAGAGAGACCGTACCACTTGCTGAGAGAAGAGGGTGTTAGGGGTGAGGTGAAAGTGCTATACCGGAGAGAGAGGTCTGCTGAGCAAGGGTCACCCAGCCGAAGAGCCATGGGAGCCCCACAGACAGGCCTGTCAGCAGCGGGCCCAGCTTTGTCTGGAAGCCCATGGGAAGTCACCTCCACCTCAGGCCTGGTTCCGGAAACCCCAGCACCTCTCTTTTTAAGCCACGACTGCAGGAAATAAGGAAATAAAGTTAAAAATCCGAAGTCCTCAGGCACTATTAATACAAACTGGAAGCTTCTCTGTTACAGACCTCTAAAGAAAGAAGAAAGGGACTGAGTTTCTGTCCTTCTGTTGGAAAATGCCGGGACTCTGTCCCCAAGCTGCCTAGAGCTTTCTGAGCTGAAAGGGGTGAGAGAAATTTGAGCCATTAGTCTAAAGAACAGATATGTATTTCAAGTTGTTTTTCACCAACATACTGGTTGGTGTGGCGTCCTGGGCATTCTGACCACGCCATTGCAAGCCAGTCTTTGGCGCTCCCTTCGCTAACCTCCACAGGACAACTCCCAAGACTAGTTGAAAACCACAGACTAGTCCTTTCAGTAACCTTTCCCCTGTCCCCTCACCTGCCCCTGCTACAGCCAGAGGGCAAAGGCTACCTGTGTGGTTGGAATAGACTTAGCGAAGGCTAGCTGACCCATCTCCCAGAGAAGCTTGGGGAAGGGGGCCAGGGAGGTCCTTGGTGCCTCTTACCCCTCACACTGCATAGCTGCCATCCACTGACACACAGAATCTCTTCAGAGCGCCTGAGGCCACCAGCCAGCAGCCTTAGGTGTTGTCCCAGTGCCTATCCCAGCCTGACAACACAATGCTCCCAGAGCAACTGTGACAACACTCTCCACCCCTGGGGCCCACAGCAGGGCCCTGGGGACTGAAGCAGGCATCCTGTGGCACTAGGCTGCACTGTAAATTTTGTTCCAACAATTGTGAGCAAAGAAGATGGTTCCTGCAGAAACGCACTGTGGAGAGCTGCAGTCTGAAGCAATTGGAAGGGCTGCCACCATTGTCTCTAAGATTCCCAAGGTCTCATGGGTCCAGAGGTGAGGCTTTGCGCCCATAGCAACCAAGCCCTGGTCTGCAGGGAGAACTATGAGCAGCAGGATTGAGAATGTTCTGAGCACTGACTGGTGAAAGATGGTGCTTCCCTGGGAGCAGAGGCCCTTCCTGGGAGAAGCTGTCTCTGACCTGGTTTAAGGTAAAGTGCCCTTCCCCTGCGGCCTTTACTGTCTGTGGGCAAACCGTGGGCTCCCTGAGAGCTAGATCATGCTGGCCTTGTGCCCCCAGGGCCCAGCAAAATGCAGTGAACCAGGATGGGCAATACAGAGGCTTTTAGAGCCCTTCCTCTTAGCTCCTTGGCCTGAGGTTGAACCAGCCAGTGGGGTGAGCGGAGCTAGGGGAGTCGGCGGTCCCCCAAGCCTCCGCGGCGCCAGGGGGCGCTGTGACGCTCCAGCCAGGCCCGCGGGCTGACCCGGGCCGCCGAGCCGAGGCAGCTGCGCGATGGGCTCGGAGGCGGCACAGCTGCTGGAAGCGGTGGACTTCGCGGCTCGGAAGCACCGGCGGCAGCGGCGGAAGGACCCGGAAGGGACGCCCTACATCAACCACCCCATCGGTGGGCTAGCCCGCGAGGGGGGCGTGGGGGGGGCACGGGGAAGGGGCCTCGAGGACGCGCGCCTCTTAGAGCGCCTGCTTTGTATCAGGCTTTGGGCCAAGCACTGGTGGTTCGTGCGCTTGCCGTTTGTGCCCCTCACCAGCCCGGTGCCACCGGCAGGCGTGATTGTTCCATTTTCAGGGGACACCCAGGAGGGTAAGGGACTTGCCCAGGGTTACGCAGCTCGGAAGGGACCACTTCTGGTTGACTGGAAAACCTGCGCCGCGCCGCCCCCGCCCTTCTGACTTCTTCCTGCTTTGCCCCGTCAGGTGTGGCTAGGATCCTGACCCAGGAGGCGGGAGTCACAGATATCGTGGTCTTACAGGTAACGCTCCTGCTCCTCCGCTCCCAGGCTGGGGTGGGGCCCCACTGAGCTCTGGGGGCCCCGTGGCCGGGGTCGTGGGACTGAGAGGCAGCCCTGTCCCCAGGCGGCCCTGCTCCACGACACAGTGGAGGACACAGACACCACTCTGGAGGAGGTGGAGCAGCACTTCGGGGCACAGGTGCGGAGCCTGGTGGAGGAGGTGACAGATGACAAGACGCTGCCCAAGCTCGAGAGAAAGCGGCTGCAGGTGGAACGGGCGCCCCATACAAGCCCTGGGGCCAAACTGGTGAAGCTGGCAGACAAGCTGTACAACCTAAGGGACTTGAATCGATGCACCCCGGAGGGTACGCTGCCCCCCTACCTGTTCTCAGAAGGGAGGGATGCCCACCCGCTGGAGGCACACAGGCTGGTCAGCCCCCCTGAAAACGCCCTGGGCTTCCCAAACGCATCCTATGTAGGCCACTCCCATCTTTTTTGGTGAGATGATAATACACTAGCTGGGCCAAAGAGACATTATCCAGACGAATCATTCCATGAGGAACTTAGCTCCGCGCCCCGCACCAAGCCCTCCAGAGAGCGGGCGAAGGCCAATGCTGCTCAGGCCACCACATGAATAGGTTTCTGTCCACTCTTCTGCAGGATGGTCAGAACATCGCGTTCAAGAGTACTTCGAGTGGGCAGCACAGGTGGTGAGAGGGCTTCAGGGAACAAACCAGCCTCTAGAAGAGGCGCTGAAGCAGCTGTTCCAGCAGCGGGGATTGACTCTCTGAGCAGTGCTCGCAGCCACCCGGTAGTGCAGAGGCTCGTGGTTCCTGTAGCCTCGATATCAAAGAGCCCGGAAACACTTGCCTTCTCCCGCCAAGTGAAGCCTGGGTTATGGGGATTGGCGGCACGCCATCCATCCCCACTTCCCTTCACCAGGCCGCGGCTCTGTTTGCTCTTGTGTAAGGTGGGATCTCTGGCCCTCTGGAACTTGGACAATAAAGCATTAGCGGGAAAAGGTTCAAGTTGGTGTCAGACCAGTAGACTGTGGACTTCAAAAAGGCACGGCTCTATTTGTGTGCCCTCTGTACCAGTCCTTTAGGATGGGGGCCTCTGCTGCCCTACTGAGCCTGGTTTTTCAGTGAGAAGGGTTTAATGATCGGGGTTCTTCATGTGGTGGCTGATGGATAGGGATGCTCAAGAAACGGAAGTTGCCTTCGCAGTTAATACTGGAAGGAATGGCAGGTGTATTACAAAGGAATGCCCCTTACTGGGCACAAGAGGGACCCCACAAGCAATATGATGGAACCTGTCAGAGGGTCCTTGACCAGAACATAAACTTCACTGGGTTTACAGCTCTGTTCAAGGCCTTGCCAGACTGTGGGATCCTCTGGTTGCTCAGCCTGTACTTTTGGCCCAATGACACATCTGGCAGCCCACGATGTTGAGTGCTCTAAGCCAGCCTGCCCCACGGGTGAAGGGGGTGCCTGTTCGTCCCTTGTAGCAGCCTCTGAGCAGCCCTGGCAGTTAGCTCCCCATGCCCAGTTCCTCGGCTGGGTAGGCAGTCATAGCAGAATTCAACCCTGGGAGTCACGGCAAAGGCTCTTTTCCTTGTACCCACCACCCACCCGGCCATTGCTGCTCCTTGGCTGTAGAATACAGTACTACTTTCAGAGAAAATGAGTGGGGGTAGCGGTTCCCCTTGGGGAAGGTGGAATGCCTCTCCCTGGAGCAGGGCCTGGTCGCTCCTCAGGATTGGATCATGGTAGCTCTAAGACCCTCCTTTCGGTGACATCTGCAATGGGACCCAAGGCTAGGGCTGGCCAAGGGCAAAACAGCTCCCCGAATTGCTGCACTCACACGGACTGCTAGCTTTGCCTCGGACGCCCACCTCCTGGTTCCAGGTAAGGGGGAGCCTTCTGCAGAGCAACGGGCTGTTCTGGCAGTCTAGGATATCCTGGGTGCTGCATATGAGGACTGCTCAGAGCGGTACCCACACAGTGCCCAGGGGGCTGTGTACTCTCCCCTGCCATCCCCTCCACCCCAGGAGATGCCTGCTGCTGGTGTGCTTGTTCCAAAGCCCTGGGGCTGGTCCAGCCCTCTAACCTCAGGGTCTGCACACTGCCCTGGGGCTCACTCGTTGAACTGGTTCCTTGCTGAGAAACCAAAGCTGGGCCTCTGACTAACTTAACCCCTTAGGTATTGCTACGTGATAAAGTCAAATGCCTAGCCTCAACCATCTGTCCCTGCTCGGGCCTAACGGAGCTCTGGAACCCTGGGCCTGCCCCCTCCCTCCTGGCCCACCCTGTTCTTTGATAGCAGGTGCTCTTCTGTGGCGCCGGCATGAGCAGCTGTTCCCACTGGCGGTGCTGACCTCCAGGGTCAGCAGGGTTGGGCTGTCTGGGCTTTGGCTGAGCAGTTGTCACACAAAGAAACAAGGGGTGTCCTGGCCTAGAGCCAGGGCACTTCCTGTGGTGCTATACTCGGGGCCTGCTAGTTCCATCCACATTCACCCAGGTGCGGACTGAGGAGACCCTGATTACGGGTAGCCCCCATCTCTGCTCCCTGAGGCCTTGTCTGGAAAGGCAGGTCACAGTTGCAGACAGTCCTCTGACTCTTAGCTGTTGGCCTGTGCAGGCAGCAGCCTTTCCCGGGGACCCCAACAGGAAGACCATGGAGGGGCGTCTGGGAGGAACACAGGAAGAGGCAAGGGAGCCATGCCCTCAGCTGCAGTCACAGACGGAGCCCCCACCGGGAACAGGCTGGGGCCAGACACCTGTCCCCAGGTGGCAGCCCCTCCTCCTCCAGCCCACCCTGTTTGGAAATACTGAGCTACAATTTTAAATGTACTCGAAGAAATTTCCAATAAAATGTTTTATGTGCTTAAAGAAAAAGATCGTGCCTTGTCAATGGTGAAAAAGCTGAGACTTGGAAAAACAAGCCAGTCCCTGGGTTAAGAATACTTCTAGGGGAACCATTTACAAGGATCTACATATAACCTCCTCCCTGGGGGATAGACAACAGAAAAGTGGGTGAAAGGAGACGGACAGTGTAAGATATGACAAATTAATTTATAAATTATCAAGGGCTCATGAGGGAGGGAGGAGCGGGGAGGGAGGGGAAAAATGAGCTGATACCAAGGACTCAAGTAGAAAGCAAATGTTTTGAGAATGATGATGGCAACAGATGTACAAATGTGCTTGACACAATGGATGTATGTATGGATTGTACAAGCCCCCAATAGTGATTAAAAAAAATACTTAACTTATACTCCCATAAAGCCTGCATATTAAACATGTGAGGCTCATCATAAATAGCTACTTTGTGATGGGCATCAAAGCATGGTTATTACTACTATATTAAAGCTATCTTAGTGCATGTGGAAGCATCATCTCAAATATTCTTCATGTAGAGAAAGTTACACTATATACCATAAGGATTTTACACTGGAGATAAATGACCCCTAACTGTTCTGACTTCCATACAAATTCGATTTAGGGAGATTTAAGAGTGAAACTTGTTTGCAATCACATATATAACCGAAATACAACCCCCACTATCAGAAGGTTATATTACTGCTTCAAAAATCAGCAATAACTGGTCACTTCACAAGTCACACACACCTGGTTCCAACCTGCCTGGAGCCCTGGGGGGTGGGGGGGCTGGGTCTGCAATGGGCTGTCAACTGCAAGGTTAGCCACAGGAACGCCCCAGCTGCTTCACAGGAGCAAGATGGGGCTGTCTGCGCCCGTAAACACCTAGTCCACGCTTTCCAGTGGGGTCAGAGTCAACTGTCTCAGGGGCTTGGGTGTGGTTTGGTTTGCTCCATGGATGCTTGATCATGAAAGGAGGGACAGAAGTCCATTTGCATGTGGAAATGTCTGCATATTCCTTTAGGCACAGGAACTCACCGCTAACACGCTACAGGACCATAGTTCTCAGGGTTACCAACCTCACAGTAGAAGCTGAATAGGAGGAGGCTTTCAAGAAAGAAAAGATTGAGATTTCTGGTGGTAGAATCGGTGCTGTCGTGTCCTGCTTCTGAGGCTGTGAGCGTGCTGAGCTCTGCAGTAAAGGGCTGCTTCTTGTCTTAAATGGCACGCATGCACATTTACAAATTGTCCAATATGCAAATTCCTTGGCCTCTTTTCTCATAAATTGGTTCGATAGGTTGCATGTAAGAATTCCCCTTTTCTACCCTGCTCTGCAGTCAAATAAGGTCTCATTCTTGCTCACCTCCCAGAGCAGCCTCAGGGCAGCTATGACTGCACCCCAGGCCTCCAGTGTCCACGCTGACCCAGCAGTCCCTTGCAGGACAGGCCAGAGGCCTGCCCTAAACAATCAAGCTGGTGATCCCGGACGGCGAGGAGTCACGGAGCTCTGAGGGCTAGTGTGCAGGAGTAAACAGCACTGCCGTTCCCGGCAGGTGAATGCTCTCGTTACACACCTGAGCCCTCCAAAGACACCACCCTGGATTCTGCTCATTTCCTAGGGGGCTGAGAGATTCTTCCCCATCATTTGATCCCATGTTTCATTACAGTGGCCAAATAGCAACAGCTTTAAGGAATTGCTTAGTATCCTGTAATAATACAGTGAGAGCTCAAACTTACTGGGCTATTCCAGGCGCACCATCGAGAAAGAAGCGGCTTTTACTCCCATAGAGTTAGTCTCGGAAACTCCCTGGGGCAGTTCTACCCTGTCCTGTAGAGTGGCTGAGTCGAACTGACTAGATGGGAATGAATGCAGGTACCCAAAAGGTACCAGGGTGGCAGTTATTGAAGTGCTCAGCCGTGACCCAAAAGATCAGCCGCCCCACGGGAGAAAGATCTATAGTCTTGGAAACCCTATGGGGCAGTCTGGAAAGCAGTGGGTTTGGTCTGTGTACCAGGCACTGGGCCAAGCACCTCACAGTGACCCTCTCAGCTCTTTCACTGTGGTAGGAAACATGGTCAAACTAGGATCTGTACCCAGGAAAGATAATATTCCATGCTGTACCGCAGGAGCCCTGGGAACACGTGCGTTTCGCTGCTAACGGAGAGAGGCTAGCTGTTCAAACCCACCAGAGATGAGTCAGCCTGTCCCACAGGACAGCTACACGTCTGGACTAACCTAACCACAGGGGTTTGGCTTGTTTACACTAGATACTGAAGTCTCTGGTGGCAGCCTGGCCAAAGTACTGGGCCGCAAACTGTAAACCAGAGAGAAAAGAAGGGGCCATCTGCCCCGTAAGCTCACTCATTGCCAGCCAGTCCATGCCTACTCAGCGCCCCCTCCCCCCCAGGCCAGGGTAGAACTGCTGTGACTTTCGGAGACTTAACTCTTCACAGTAGAAAGCACCCCCTCCCGCCCATGGAGCAGCTAGCAGGTTCAACTGCTGACCTTGTAGTGTAACCACTAGGCCATGTCCAGGTGTCCGGAGTTGGAACGGACTCAGTGTGTCTCCTGACCCACAACAGACCGCTGGTCCTGGGACGTGTCCTCACCCCCGGCTATGGGATTCCGTGAGCAGCAACGACCCGGGACGGCTGGAGGGACTCAGCCCTGTCTCCCTTCAGGTGCTAGCTTGCACGCCCAGTGACCTGCCAGAGGCCCCAAAGCGCCTTTCTCCCCAAGCAACCGTAACCTCGGGTTGACATGCTGCATTTTCTCCAGATCTGACCTCTGTGCTGAAACGTTATTTTTTTCATCACACAGGGACTTTCAACATATTGTACGCCCAAATCTGTTTTATCTTTTCCCTTTTGAGGCTGCTTCTTTTTAGAAAGCGCTCCCCCGACACCAGAGACAGAAAGAAAACCCACCTTTTCTCCATAATTGCATGGTTTTTGTGTGCCTGTGTTTTCCACCTGGAGTTGTGTAAGCTGATGACTCTGATGGCCAGTTGTCTCAAAATACTATTTATTAAAGAGTCCATCTTTGCCCCACTTGAATACCCCTTCCACCAGAAACCAGTCCTCCTCTGTGTGGGTCTGTTTGGTTCCTTTGCTCGGTCGGTCCGAGGCCACTCCCTTCCCACTCAGATTTCACCCACAGCAGCTTCAGTCCTTCTGAAACCCCGCAGGGTGAGGCTCACTGTCCCACCCCAATCAGTAGTCAACGGTGTGAAGTTCTCTTAGTAGTCCCACACATTTACGCTTCCAAGTAAATTTCAGGACCTTGACAATTCTAGAAAGCGTCCATTCTCAGGGGAATGACAGGGATTGGTGGGTGGACTGGGGGAGGAGCAGGCTATATATTTCTCCTTCTTGGTTCCCAGGCTGTGTATTTCAGTTGGGTCAACTTACCCACTGTTCCGAACAGTCTCCAGTTGCTGCTCTTAGTTTTAAAGGTAGGCACTTCGAGCTTCTTCAAAGAATGGCAACGGCCACCCCTCCCCGCCCTCTTCTGCCATGCTACAAGGCGGCAGTGCCCGCAGGCTGGGGCCTGGCTTCCGAGGGAATGCCTGTCGAGTGTGGCGCGAGGGTGCCCCAGACTGTGGGTTTCTGACGGACCTTACTGATCTAAGATACTTCATTCTAGCCTTCACTTCCTAGGAGTTTTAAAACAGGGTAGATTTAAATATTTACCACGCTGTTTTTCAGCAAGTAGAGACTACCCTAAATTCTTCTCTACTGACTGGAGTGGAGAGCAGCCAGCTGTACTGCTTCCTCATTGACCACGGCCCGTAACCCGTGCCAGTAACTGGACGCTGCTGGGAAGGACCTCCTGGGGACAAAGCTTCCAGGCCTGACTGCGGAGACGCTGCCCGAGGGGCCCCAAGTGTCCGAGTACATGGGGACTTCGAGGATCCACTTTCTTTCCAAAGAAAGGAAGTTTGTTAGACCAGAGCCCCCAGGGCAGGAAGGGGCACTTGGGGACAATGGTGTACAGAGCACTGGAACCAAAGCTGGAGTCCGGAAGGGTGGAGGACTCCCCACGCCTGCCACCACCCCACAAAAATCAGCACAGAGACCAGTCAGTGCCCATATGAGCTGGGGCTCTGGGGCCTGATCCTCGGCCCTGGCACAGGCTCCAGTCCTGACCCAGTGCTTCCTGACATGCTGCAGCCCGGCGAGCAGGCGAGTGGAGCCTTCACAGAAAGCCACAGGGCCTTCTCTCGGGAGAAATGGGGATTCCTGCTATGCCTCCACATGGGCTGTATACTCGGGGGCCCCACACCCTCTTCCCGGCTCATCCACCTGAATAAGTGGTCTCAACACGACCACAGGACTCCCTGCAGTGACCCTGGTGCTGGGCTGACACCCACTCAGCCTCCCTCACCTCTTGGGTCCCTGCTTCTCCTTTCTCCCGCCTTGGGAAAAGGACAGCAGCTTGGGCCTTGTGTCCAAAGCCGGGTGTGGCATCGCCACTCTGACCCATGGCTTCCTCTCCTCTCCTCACTGGCATGTGCCCTGCCTACCCCACACTGGGCTCCCCGCCCCCACAGAAGCAACAAGAAACAGGAAGTGAGGGCAGAGCCCTGTCTGTCCCGGTTCTGAGAGGCAGATCCAGACAGGTACCCATTGTCACGAGGGTGAACTTTCCCTCCGGCCAGGAGCAGCCCTAGCCTAGGCGCAGGCGAAAGGTGGCGATCTCCATGGGCTCCAGGTAGACGTCGGTGCTATTGGAGGGTGCAGCCAGAGGGAACAGTAATGTCAAGGAGGTTGGCTGCAGGAAACCCACGTCCAGGCCAGAGAAAAGGCTCCCCAGCGCCACCTGTGGGGCAGAGAGGGTGTGCACTGAGCTGCGGCTGACACACTGCAGCGGCACCTCTTGAAGATTCTGGCCAGGAGCTGGCCCATCCCTAGCAACAAATCTACATACCCACAGGAGTTTGCACAGTCTCAGGGGTTCACTGCACCCAAGGCCTGTCTGTGGCGCCAGGGTAGAGACCCCTGTTGCTGTGAGGTGTGAGATGTGAGCTCCCTGAAGGCAGGGACATGTCTGGTCCGTTCTGGAGCACAGCTGTCAAGGATGTTTCCTTTCTGATGTGTCTCGCTTTGGTTAATAAAGGTCCCTAATTGCGGAACACAAGTCCCTGTGCCACGTGCCTCAGCTGCAGCTGGCCCAGCTTGAGGGGCTCTGAGAACACATCAATGGCTCCCCTACAAGAGGCCCTGCGGGGCCCTTTCCTCTCCCACCTCGTCGCCCCCCTACCCCCACCCCAGCGCCTGCTCTGCCATTCACAGCTGCTCCATTTCCCTGCCCGCCTCTCATTCAAGGTGGGCCCTGCTCACCTTGCCTTGGCTTGTGGTGCAATTGAAGCCCAAGTTCTTGGCCTCAAGGCCACAGTCAAAGCCCTTCCGGTGCAAGAGAAGAGCAGTCTCTGCCGATGGCAAGGCGTCGTCCTGGACAAGGGGACAAAGGGTGGGAAGGAGCTCCAGGGGTGGCAGCATCTGTGCCCCGAAGGCAGGAGTGGAGCGAGGCAAGAGTCTGGCATGGAGGTGCAGGGCGGCGGGGGACACTCACCTCAGCCTGAAGCGTCCGCAGGTTGAGCAGGTGGAAGTCGCAGGGTAGGGAGGAGGCCAGAGGGTGGAATGAGCGCAGACCAGGGCCTGGGAGCTGCCCCTTGGCCACGGGCAGTGCAAGTGCTGGGGTGTTCAGGTACATGGAGGTCAGGTGGCTGAGAAGGGACGGGTAGCTGGTAGAGCGGCCATCTGGGACCTGAAAAATCAGTCCCCACAGGTGGGGAAGGAAGGGAGCCAGGCTGGGGACGATGACAGCACATCTAGCCGGGGTCTTTGGGAGGAGCCTGGATCTAGCTGGCCCAGGCACTGCGCTCCCACACACCCTAAAAGGGTTATTCCACTGGGCCCTTGAGTCTCCACCCCTTTCTTCTTGATGCCACAACCCTGCCGTGAGCAGGGCAGCTCCGGTCAGAGCCAGCGCCTCGCTGCGGGATGGTGGGTGGAGAGGGGCAGGCGCACACTGGACTGCGGACAACAGCGAGCCTCCAGCCCTGGTCTCGCCCTCTGCACCACATCCACAGCGCCAGCCCTTTCTCGGGTCTTGCCGCCCGGGACCATGCCCTTGATGGCGCTCCTGGACTTCACACTTAGCAGTCCTGAGCTGAGCGTCCCTTTTCCAACAGGACTTGTGTCCCAGGACCAACCTCCTCCTGGTCCCTGGAGCTCGCTTCCTCTCCCTTGAGCTCCGTGCCCAGGTTTGTGCTGAGTCCTCTTCCACTCACACCGGAATTGTCCCACCCCAGGGCTCTGGCCCATGGCCCGAGCTCAAGCCACCACCACCTCCTCCTGCTCGCACTGCCTTTGAACTGTCACCTGGACTCCAGTGACCCTTCCTGCATGCCCACCTGACACGCTGCCCAGGGCCCACCCAGACTCTCCTTGAAGTCAGCCCCTGGCCGCCCCAGGCTCAGTCTAGTACCAAGACGAGAGTTCCTGAGAGGAGGGCAACACGCCCCAGCAGAACGGTCGGATATGGCCGTCATCAGCTACTTGTGGTCACCGAGCACTTGAGACTTGGCTAGGACAAATGAGGACTGAATTTTTAATGTTTTGTCGTAATTAATTTCAATGATCAGGTGGATGGTCAGAACAAAAAAACCGATGTGCCTTGAAAGAAGTACAGCCAAAATGCATCCCCAAGTCCTCCTCAGTCCTTCAGGACTGTGTAGTCCCTTTGACGAGGAAGTGACAAAACCCAACCCAAGCCACTGCGATTCAGTGACAGGCGCTCAGCGCAACTCTGCAGGGCAGTCCTGACTGCTCCCTCAGGAGCCCGGGGCTGTGACTGGAACCTCATAGCCACCCTGCAGGACAAGAGTAGAACTGCCTCCCGTCGTTTCCAACGCGGCACTCTTTATGGAAGAAGGACCCCCGTGGTGGCGGAGTGGTAAGAGTTGGGCTCCTAACCACAAGGTTGGAGTTTCAAACCACTCAGCAGGAGGACGGGGCTTTCTACTCCCGTTAACAGTTATAGTCTGGGAAACCCATGGGGGCAGTTCTACCCTGTCCTATAATAGGGTTACTGTGAGTCGGTGTTGACTCGCTGGCAGTGCGCTTGGGATCCTCAAGGACGCCGACTGCCACGTCTTGCTGAAAGCCCCATCTCTCTCCCACGGAGCGGCTGCTGGGCTCCAACTGCTGACCTCGGGGCTGGCGGTACAATCCTTACCCAACAGTGCCACCTAAGCTCCTTGTTGAAATTGCTCCCCTGCTGGCTCCCACCATAGTTACAGCATGCACTGCCAACACTGCCTCTGCCCTCCTCTCCTTACTGTGGCTACTGCGAGAGCAAGGCCAGTTTGGAGGAAATGCCAGGCTGGCGGGGGCAAAGGAAGCCCCGCGTGGATTGGGGCCAGGGAAGGAGGGCTAGAAGATGCTGGGCTGAGGGGGATGAGCAGGGCAGCCCAGAAAAAGGGGGAATGAAGAGGAGGGCACGGTGCCCACGAGGGAGGTGGCAGACGGGGCGAGGCCTCTCACCACAGCCCTGCTACTGCCGCCCTGAGCTCTCATTCAGCTCTGCTCTCTCTACGTGGGCCTGGTTCCTGCTCTGTTACTTAAACCCCAAGCTGGAATCCCCAGGGCCACCCCCACCTAGCCTCCGGCAGAGTGAGGCCTCGGTTTACCTCATTGCCTGCCGTTCGCCGTTCTAACAGGAGGCGGAAACGGTTGCAGGTTCTCTTGTTGTCTTTGAGTCCTTGGCCGAGACCCCGGTTGTCGTCCTGCATCAAGCGCCGGTCCAAGATCACTTCCAGCTGGCCTGCGCAAGTTCACTGTGAGCCCTGGACTGCCCTGCCCCACCACCCACCACCCCTTTGGAAGAAAAGGGCTCCCTTGGAATAAGGGTGTCCCAGAGCTGTCTTTCTTAGGGATCTCTTGAGGGGAGCCTGCGCCCACCTCTCCCACCCGACAGCCTTTCTTTCAGCTCCCCAGTCCGCCTTTCACGTGGGGTGCCGGGAGTCGGAATCGACTCCATGTCAACGGCCCAGAACAAACTTCACCACAGAGCTCTGCGAACACACTTGTGTGTATGCCCATATGTAAATGCACCAGAGGGGCGGAGAGAAACAGCCAATCAGGAAGGTTGGCTACAGTTGAAGCCAATGAGGCTGACAGACTCACAGAAAATAGCTGCACCTGGCTGCTCCTGGGATGGGGGGTGGGAGTGGGGACCTCAATCCTTCCAGCAGGAGTCACGTCCCTGCTATGCTGGCCCAGGGGCAGAGCCCAACCTCCGAGCACTGGGCTCTTGACTCTTACAAAGGCTCAGTCCCACAAAAGTAAGAAGACCCCCAAGGGGCTCCAAGGTCACCATGTCCAAGCTCTTGTTTTTACCCTGAGGACCATGGGAGCCATTGGGGCAAGCCAGTTACTCAGTGGGCAGTGCTCCTCCTGCCCCTGTTCTGATTCTTCAGAAACTCCCTCTTTTAATGACCATTAATAGAAAAACAAAACGCATTTCATTAGGAGGCTGAATGCAATTTCAGACTATCCCTACCAAGACTACCCCAGACCAAGAGCAGGTTGCATAGCTCAGTAGCAAAAAACACTGCTCAATTCCAGATGCTTCTCAGGGGGCCCAATAAGACACCCACGACCCAACTGCCTCACTGCTGCCTGCACCCAGGGGGGCAGGTGACAGCAGCTGTCAGCCTTTCTCCCTGCTCATGTGACCAACAGCAATTATAAATGGCTCTGGCCCCAGGAGAAGAGCGAGGCCCATGTGGCGGAGGCCCAGGGGTGGGATGGGCTACTCTCCTGCTCCCCACGTACCATCACCGAGGCTGGACACACCCAGGGCTTGGGCAGTGTGCAGAGTGAGGCGGTTCTGTGTGTCCTGGATGTAGACCATGACCGGCATGGGGTAGAAGTTGGCCTGCAGAGGCAGCTTCTTCAGATACCGTCGGGGCTGGACCTGTGGGGGCAAGACTAGCAGCTCAGGGCACCCGGGAATCAGACCTGGACGACTTGGTCCTGGGCAGCCCCCATCTGAATGTGTCCTGGCTCACCCACACCTCTGATTCCTCTCTCCCTCGGGGCAGAGTGCCTGCTGGGCCTGTGCTGGAGGGGCTCACCTGGAAGCCGTTGAGGTCCGTGAAGAAGGTGCCCTGGCTGTCAATGTTGGTGCGCAGGCGCAGGGCCACCTCCTTGTTGACATAGTCCCGGATATCCACCAGGGATGACAGGTCCAGAGAGAGTCCCTCCACCCCTGGGCACAGGGACAAGGGAGACACGGGCGGCATGAGGACAGGCTGGAGCTCAGGTGCCTTGGCTATGAGGGGTTGGGCCCAACTCCCCTGGCAAGCCAGTTCCAGGCATCTTTGAAGACCTTTTTCACCCCAAGGGATTTAAACACCCCCATCTTGACAGGTCCATTTTCTGGGAACGAGCAATGACCCTGCCAGTCTGAATGGAGAAGGGGCAGAAGGAAGAGCGTGGCCAGCCCGTCGTCTGTGGTGCCCGCCCCTCTCCTACAAGGCCCCTTCCCACGCCCGCACGGCTCACCTGGCAGGTTGTACAGCCGGACCACCTGGTGGACGTGCTCGTAGTAGGCAATCACCTCTGAGAAGAAGGGGCCTTCAGTGACACGAAGCACAGGGGGGTCCTTGGGGACATAGGGCTGGAAAAAGAGCACAGGAGGTGGCTGAGTCCGCAGCCCACACAGCAAAGGAAGCAAGTGCCAGCCCAGGCTTGGGCAGGGGACAAACCAGTACCCAGCAGGTGCTGGGCTGGACTGGGCTGAGCTACACACACACCCTCCCGTCGGTAAGTTCCCTGGTATTATAGACCAAGTTGTGTCCTCACAAAATATACATCATAAATCCTAAGCCCTAGATCCTTGGCTGCAATTCCACGTGGGAGTAATTTTCTTATGTTACCGCGTCGTGTCTCTGTGGCATGTGTCTTGAACACGTCTGAAAGCCTACAACCCTAGGGTAGCCTCTCCTGAGCTATAAGGACGACCCCGAGAAGCAAGCAGGCACAGCAGGAAAATGATTTCCAGGGAAGTCGACGGGAAGCTGAGACTGGCTTCCCCCCAGAGCAGAGAGCTCCGAATCTAGACATCTAACTTCCCGAACTGTGGAAAGATACGTTTTGTTTGTAAAGTCACTTGTTGGTGGTCGTTCTGCTACAACTCAACCCAAACGCGTGGCCGTCAAGTCCATTCTGAGCCACATGGCCCGTGTGGAGCTTCCCACACAGACGATCTCGTCTGTCCTCACAGAGCGCCTGGTGGGCTTGAACCACCGACCCTGACGTCAGCAGCCACAGCTCTACGGCACTAAGAAACTAAGACAGTATAGGACTCAGTTCCTCAGGGAAGATCCACCAGTCATCCTTCTTCCCAGAGGTGGCGAAGATGGGGACCACCTGGGAAGCAGGCAAGGCCTTGGCCACCATCCTCTTGATAGGACTGCATCTCCCTCCTCCCACCGCCTCGGTCCGCCTGTCTCTGCACGCCTTCCCAGGAGGAAGCCCACCCAGGCCCCGGCAGCTCTCAGGGGTCTTCAGGGCACCTTGGCGTCGCTGTCAGGCAGGAAGAGGTAGGCGCCGCTTTTGTCTTTGGATGTGCGGGTGCCGTAGATGAGGAACTCCATGTCCACCCGCTGCTCCTGCTCCTCGTCCACCCTTCGAATGCTCTGCCAAAAAACACAGCCCTGACCCCTGGCCCCACCCCAGCGCATCAGGCCTGCCCCCAAGAGGGCACGGACGAAATTTCCCGAGGGGCCGAGCCCAGCTTGCCCGTGCTAGCAGCAGGGAGCCAAGACCACCATTTGACATCCACCTTCCTTCCGAGGGCAGCATGGCCCTAGGCCCTGGGGGACAGCAGCCCCAACATCCCCCCCCCCCCCCCGTGACTCCGGCCTTACCTTGAGGAGCCCAGTGAGGCCTGAGAACCAGACCTGCATGTAGCGGTTGCTGAGGGCAAAGTCCGCGGTGCCTGAGTCAACAACTCGGACAGGGAAGGCCTCGTGCCGGCTGACGGACAGATGCCGCCCGTGCAGGTAGATGCGCACAGAGGAGGGCAGCGTGCGGTGCCCGTCAAGGCCCTGATGAAGCTGCAGCACGCTCAGGCCCAGGGCCGGCAGGCGCACGGGCACAGACACCTGCCAGACGGGACGGCGGGGAAGCAGGGGAGTGGGGGGTGGGGTGGGGTGGGTGTCCCTTAGCAGCTGTCTGGCCACAGCCCTGCGATTCTGGTTCGTCAAGTTGCATTACTGAGAGGCCCACGCAAGTCCCGACCCTCCCAGGATCTCTGCCCTGCTCCTGAGAGTGGAGGTGATATCAGGCGCTCCCCCCCTCTCAGACTCTTGGGAGTCACAAATGATACTTGGAAAACGACTAAGTGCCCCCCACAGGTTAGGCTTTCCAATGCATCACTCAAGTCTAGGGAGGACAAGGACACGGTCATGCTCAGCCTCATCATTACCACAGAAACCTTCCCCTCCTTCCCAAGGGCACGCTCCCTCCTTTTCCATAAAGGGCTCTCCTCAGGGCAGCCCGACCCTGTGAGGCGCGCAGCTGGGGCCTCACCTGGTAGATGTCGGGGGCCATGTCCGTGGCAGAGCTCCAGTGGGCGCTGACCTGCACGGCCAGGGGCTGGCCATCTTCAGAGAGCACACGCACCCGGGGCGAGCTGACCAGCAGGGACACGATGCTGAGCCGCTCCTGCTCCAGCGGGTTGAATAGCACCACGTACCTGCCAATACAGGTGGGCTGACTTGGGGGCAGGGCACCGAGCACCCAGGCGGCATGCAGCCTGTGTGCGTGCATAGGTGCCCGTGCACATGTGCACAGCTCACCTGGGTGAGGTGCCCAGCTGGATGACGGTGCGCTCAGGCAGGGCGTCGTGGTTCAGGCGGGTGTCATCCTGGAGAGGTGGGGGGCGTGGGAAGAGCCCTCTTAGCGTTTGGCCCTCTGTTCTGTCCTGGATGTGGCTCCCCAGCTGCTCTCGCCACAGGCCACAGGCAGAAGCAGGAGCAGGCGCACCACCGAGGCCCAGAGCTCTGGGACCAGTGCCCCTGCCTGCCCCCACACCTGCCCACCCACACACCTGCAGGGCAGGGCTCACCATCTGGAGAAAGGGCGCCTCAGGGTCAAAGTGGTAGGTCTCCTTGTCCCCCAGCACCAGATAGTGAGCAGCGTTGATGATGACCTGCTTCAGGCTGACCAAGGATCGCAGGAGCCTGGGGTGGGCACAAGGCAGGCCATGGGGAGGATGCTCCCTCCCTAGGGGGAGGCTGTCGGCCCTGCCAGATGCACACACCCTCAGCCGGAGGCCTGCCGCCCACCCTTTCCCAGGGAAGGAGCGAGGAGGCTGTGGAGCTGGCAGGGAGAGGCGAGGGGCCAACCTGACCCCGTAGTCCACCACGACGGCCTCCTTGGCGGTGCCAGTGATGGCATCGTGGTGCTGGAAGAGGCCCAGTGAACGCCGAGCTTCCAGCAGGAGCGCGAAGTCAGAGAGCGGGTACTGGCTAGCTGTTCCAGAGCGGCGGGTGTGGGCCACAGCCAGGCTGTACAGAATCTCTGCCCCCCTGTCCAGAGAGGGGAGTCAGCCCCCAGGGTCCAGCACTCTCCCTCCATCCTTTTCCACCAGCTGTGGTCTCTGGGACTGGTCACCCTGCTGGCCAGGTGCAGACCCAACCCCAAAGGCTCCGCCTACACCCTGTATCCTGGGAAGGGAGGGGTCTCACCGCAGGTGGGCTTCCAGGACACGGTCCAAGCTCTTGTAGAAAGGCCGAGAAGTGTAATAGCCTGTCCAGTAATGATCCTCCCGGTCCGCGTAGGAGAAGAAATCCCCACTCAGCACAGGGAAGCCAGGTGGGCGAGCCCCAGGCTCCACCCCAGTCCGCTTGTAGAGAGCGTCAAAATAGTCCGAGAGGGTGCCAAACTGGGCCTGTGGGGACCCCAGAGCCCAGTCCCATCAGGTCCAGAGCCCCTGGGAATTCTGGCCAGAGTGCTTCTGGGGGATTGGGGGGGTGGAGAGGTGGCAGGGGCTGGGCCTACACCAAGGGAGTCACTTCGTGGTTCCCGTACGGCCTACAGTGAAGCTGGATGTCAGGGAGACACTTCCGACAGACCAGGAAAACCCGGCCAGCCCTCGAAAGAGCTCCTGCTTTGGAGCCAGTGAGGAGGAAGGAGCACAGACCCAGGGGGAGGGCTGCGCTGCTGGATCCCCTGGGCCGGCCCCCGCCCCCGCACCTGCACGTGGAGGTCAGGCTTGCTGTTGAGGAAGTCGAATAGCCGCTGGTAGTTTAAGAACTGGGCATCCCACTCCTGGGGCTTGTCATACCGGAAGTCGTCACCCAGGGGCACCAGGAGGACGTTGCTTCGGAAGAGCCTGGACTTCTTCCGGTACTGGTCCAGAAGCAGGGCTGCCCTGTGGGCGGAGCCCAACACGAAGCCTCAGCATCAGGGGTGCTCACAGACCCCGCCCTGGCGGCCCCCGGGTACATCCCTCCCAAGAAGCCCTTCCAACTATGTGTGAAGGGACGCCAGGGTTATCCGGATGGAGACGGTTCTGACGACCCGCGAGGTCTCCCTCATGCTCCCGGAAACCAAACGCACTGCCCTCAGGTGATCCCGACTCCTAGGGAGGTGTGGCGGCGGCCGCGGGGGCGGCGTCTCCGTGGGCCTGGGCCTGCCCAGACACTATGCAGAACCAACTAGTCCCCCTTCCTGTGACCACCCTTCAGATCTTGCAGACGTGCGCACACTCCACAGGCTTCCTCTTTGGGCGCTGCAAGCCCCGCCGGGCCATCTCTGAGGTTTCGGGACCGCATACTCTGCGGCCAGCCCCATTGTCCCTCCGAGGGCAGGGCCCAGGAGCCTGGGGGCAGCAGCCAGCACAGGGAGGGCACACTGGCCCCGGGCCCACTTTCCCTGAGAAGAACGTTTCCGTGGGCATGCTTGGCAGCTACCACGCCGTCCCTGTGTTTCCTGTCCCTTACACCATTCTTCATACATGTGGTCAGGGCTTTTCTCCTCCTTCTGAACCTGCATCTCCTGCTTTCTGAAACTCCACCACTTTCAGCATC